GTCAGAGAAAATTTCCATCTTTTGGGGATGAGCGCTCTGCAAACTCCTCCGATTCCGGCTGAAGGAGCCACCGGGGATGTGGGTTTGGTTAGAACTTACAAGAAATGGAAAGGCGACAATGTGAGTTTGTACCCTTTTCTTGTTGTTCCACTCTCTCTTTGTTTGATTGATTAATGGAAGATCTGAATTGGGGTGTGTTTGATGATTAAAGATGGGGTTTGCTGCTGTAGGATATAAGCAGTTTTGGGTTTGAAAGTGACAAAAGAATCGTGGTGGTCAAATGGAGTTGTTGCTGTTTTTGTTTTGATTCTGTGTGTTTTTTTGTATGGAATCAAAATATCTTGATAGTTTACCTTACTGATTATCTATTGTAAGGGAAATTTGGAACTGGGTGTTTTGATTAAGCTTGAAATGCACTTTGTGATTTGCGTTAGTGCAATTTTCTAGGTCTAATCTATTCTGTTGATTTACCCAGACCTGTTTGGACCATATACAAATTTGTTTCTTGGTGAAGAATCTAATTTATGCCATATTGTTCATATGTCCAAATCAGGCTGTGGTAGTAATTATGTATATTTCCTGGTTAATTTAATGTTTTCTCAGCCTTTTGGTTGATTTATGTTGCAGATATTTTGTCTTCAGGGGAGGCTTATATTTGGACCTGATGCAAGGTCTCTTTTCGTCACCATCTTCCTAATCGTTGTGCCAGTTGCCATTTTCTGTGTCTTTGTGGCAAGAAAGCTCCTAGAAGATTTTCCTCATCACTGGGGAATTTCCATTATGGTCATTGTTGTAGTTTTAACCTTATGCGTGAGTTTATTTCCTTTCATAATCTTCATTATTTAATGTGTCAGCTCAACTAGTGCAAGTGATGCTTTACTCTTTCAACCTCCACACACACATTCACACCCCTCTGCGAATCTATTTAAAGGCATTTTGGTTCTTCAAATTTACAATCCTAGCTTGCTTACCTTAAATGCATATTCTTTCTGTGGAAAGTATCTATTTCCAACGAACATATGCATTGTTACATGCTAAAGGCCAGTGGTATGTTGGCTGTTGCTGTTAACAAACATTTTTTCAGTGTTTCTGAGTTCTTGATGTTGAAGTTCAGTGTTGTTATATTACAGCTAACTTCCAATGTACCAAAAAATTGTTCTTGGGTCTAAATCTGATAACAATTGGTTCAAACAACTAAGTTATTTTAATTTGATCCTTCAAATTCTAGATGATCTCTTGTAGTAATTACTATTGATATTGAAGTGCTAGATTTCATGGTAACTGCTGCAGTACCATTGAATTGATAATATTTGAATTTTTACTTTTTCCAGGATATAATTTTTCTTCTACTAACCTCAGGAAGAGATCCCGGTATAATTCCACCAAATTCTCACCCTCCAGAAGCAGAAGGTTATGAAGGAAGTAGTGAAGTTAGCAGTGGCCAAACTCCACCTCTACGTTTACCCCGCCAAAAGGATGTGGTTGTCAATGGAATAACTGTGAAGATCAAGTACTGTGACACCTGCATGCTGTATAGACTTCCTAGATGTTCTCACTGTTCAATATGCAATAACTGTGTGGAAAGGTTTGACCACCACTGCCCTTGGGTTGGTCAATGTATTGGACTGGTATGCTAATCCTCATCTACATCTTATGTTCCCTACATCCATGCCATTGTCAGTGTGTTAGAGGTTTTATTTTAAGCAATCCTGAAAATTATTGTTCTATTTTATGTTTCTATTTCTGGTTTCAGCGATAAACTTTGCTATGTCCATCTGTTCCTTTTACTCCCAAGTTTGAGTCTCATTTTGTTTGGGTTATTTCTCCCGTTAGATGCTAGTTCTGTCATATCTATAAGGTTGTAGCTTGATTGTGCTTGTTATTATTAATAACAAACATATGTGATAATGTTTCTAATTTGTGTTTCTGATTCTCTGCAGCGGAATTACCGGTTCTTCTTCATGTTTATCTTTTCTGCAACTCTTCTCTGCTTATATGTACATGGTTTTTGTTGGGTGTGTATCAAGAGAATCATGGATAGCGAGCAGACTTCCATCTGGAAAGCTATGACAAAAACTCCTGCATCCATAGCGTTAATAATCTACACCTTCATTTCCGTCTGGTTTGTTGGTGGCCTTACTGTCTTCCATTTGTATCTAATCAGTACAAATCAGGTAAGAAATCTTCACATCATTCTACCTTGTTCTGAATCTTTTCTATCTTAAAATGCATCATTATAAATATGAAATTCTAGTACTCAAAATCCATAAGAAATTAAATGATTTTTCTCCTAATAACTTCAACAGTATATAGATAGTGATAAGTGACCTTAGAAATGAACGCATCATGCAGTATGCAGGACAGTAGTGAGTTGGTGCTTGGAGTTTTTTTCACATACTAAATATTTGGTTCCATTTTCTGTGCTTTGCAGTCTACTTATGAAAACTTTAGATATCGGTATGATCAACATTCAAATCCGTATAACAGAGGGGTGATTAAGAATTTTATGGAGATATTCTGCACCAGCATTCCTCCATCGAAGAACAATTTCAGGGAAAAGGTTCCAAAGGAGCCAGCAGTTCCACCTAGAACAGTAAGTGCTTTTGTCAGTCCAAACAGGGGGAAGATAGTTGGCGACATAGAAATGGGAAGGAAGCCGGTTTGGCTTGAGGCTGGAGGAGAGGTAGGTGACTATGAAGGCCAACTCAGTGATGATGACATGGGAAAGGATGGACTGGTTGATGCATCTCCTGATTTAAGTAGAATCCTTCCCCCAGAGGGCACGGAGGGGCGTGGTGTCTTGCAGCAAACCAAGCATTATAGTCAGGGAAGAAGGACTAGTGAAAGATGGGAAATATCACCTGAGATTCTTCCTATATCCAGACTTGGCGGATCAAAGCGGGTTAATGATGGTAGTGACTGAACCTTGACCGAAGGAGATTTGACAATTTTAAACAGCACTTCAAAATGTAAACAAGAAGGAATTTTTATAGAAACGAGATTGAAACAAGGGGTGAGGAGTGGGAATAGATTATGGGTTTGAACTGTTATTGATTGGGGATTGCGCTGTGTTCATGTTGATACAAGGTAACGCCTTCCTGTGATCCTAGGTGTACTCAGTTTGTGTCAATGAAGCCTTGGCATGATAGTAAGGTCAAGACCCTTAGAAAGGTTTCAAGTTCTGAGTTTTGCCTCATCCATGTTATGTTAAATCAAGCTTTAAGTTGGTTTTGTATAATTTGTAATTTTGCTTCGAGTTTAGTTTGTATTGTGAGTGTATGTATATGATATGTTGATTAACTATGTATCCACTGAAAAAAGCGTGCTCGTAGCCCACCCCGTGAGAACATCCTTTTCCTTTCCAATTCAATGAGGAACTTAGCTTCTTTGCTTGCTGAATGGAATATCGGTTAAAGCAAGGCCTATTTTTGCCTCTAGAAGGGGAAGCAAGCAACATTTTACAAGCTGCACAATCTATTCGATCATTCCCGGTTAAGAAGCCCACCTTCTTGGCTACCTTAGCCCAGTTCTTTATCCTTATGGTGGAACCCTGGAAAGTTGATCTGGCAATGGAGTCAATAGCTACCAAGAACTTTTCTTTCTCCCTCCTACTACCAGAAAGTGATTAAACTTCATAAGCTTCTCTTTTAAGTTTAAGAGAAGTATTTGCCTCAGAGTCTCGATATGCGAAAGGATAGGAAGCAGGCAGCATGAGCATGCCACTTCTTGCGGGAATGGCCCTCCCTACTACAAAAAAAGCGTGCTCCTCGACAATTTTTTCGCTGCATGAAAGCGTACGCACTACCATTTTCTTTTCTCCTTCAAATCAGACGTATGCTTGGGCTTAAATATTCAACTAGATTTTCTTCAGCCAATTGGATAAGATTGAAGCTCACACCGTAAACTGTTCTATCATCTATGACATCATTTCTTACGTTTT